GAGTAACAGGTGGACGCTAAGAAAAATGGGAATATAGCACTTCGTTTATTGCAACAGCAAATTCTCCAGATTAACATTGTACACTGTATATACTACATGAATTGGTTTAATCTTTCTCCCTTCGAGTTTCCCGTGTAACTCAAATAGTCAACATCTGCTTTAGATGTCTTAAATAACTGACGGGGTGAAATTGATCTTTTTTCTTCCACATCACCACCGTGCAGCTAAAATCATGCCTGACAAGCCCTGACAGATTACGGTTTCAGAGTTTCTTCATTTATATCATTTCCAAATTAACTTGTTCTCTCAATTACCCTGCATTATCTTTTCCTTTTCGAATTGTAATCCGCGACTAGCTCCAAGAAGAAGCCATGACAAAATATTAGTCTTTGCCACAGATGGCAAAGAAATGGAACCCACGTCAGTGAATGGGTAAACAAACACTACCTTCTTGAAGCAGTAGCACGACATATTTACTCTTTTACGATTGACAAGCAACGTTGAAACTAAGAAGTGCTTGATCAAATGCGAAAGTCCAGTAAAGTTACTGTAAAATTCACCTAAAACACCAACACTACAAAAAAACTACTGAATGGAAGCTTTTCTTTTTTCAAACATTCATCTTTACAACCTTTTCCACCGGTCAATTTTGAGGTAATTTGTGAACTATCAACTGTTACTTTACAAGAAATATGAGTGGTTTTGGAAGAATTCTTATAGAGGAAGCAAAGATTTAGCACACCCAATTGGACTGGCTAAAAAACTGCTATACCAATACAGAGGGTGAGGATGCCAACCTTTGATCATCTCCTGATCCAAGCAGATACTCGAGGAAGGTAGAGACATCCCTCAGCATAATCTTAGGAGTACTTTGCAAGGAGTGCCAGACCTTAGGAATACTTCCCTCCTGACCAGGTTGGGTTGTGGGTAGCAATTGCATCTTTTAATTTTTGAATCTGCATATTAGTTGGAAAAAGGCTCAACCAAGCAATTCCATGCAAAAGAACAAACATATAATCCATGAGGTACCAAAGCAGTGTGGCTCACAGCTGTGGCTATCTACCACCAGGAAATCCAAATATGCACCACAGTGACTATGCAGAACAGTTTTCAGTGACAAATGGCTGATTATACCTGATTTTTACTGCATAGACAGTTCAAAATTGGTGGACGATCATCACAGACATTCTCTTTCTTCACGTTACTAGATTTAGGAGTAATTCTTTTCTTGCTATTTCTTCTCTTGTTTTCTGTTGTATTTAGTTTGTTTTCATTTGGTGTTTCTTTGGGTTGGAAGCAGGAAACATGGCTAAAGAGGTAAAGAGAAAGCAGAAAGGAAGAGTTCGGAAACAGTTAATGTGCTATAAACCAATATTAAAAAACACCGAATTTAGTAAAATAGAACTAAATTCACACACCTTAGCCAGAGAACAAGAAAACGATTCAACCAGGCGATCAGCTCCTCGATAGAAGTGGAAATATGGAAGGACCTTTATATTCAAACTTTTGCACAAACCCTTGTTCTCATCAAAGTTTACCTTGAGAAAGAGAACCTCTGGATGTTCTTCAGCTATTTTGCAGAGCTGATCAATGAAGATACAGCATTTTAAAAAAAAATGCAGAACTTAACATTGAGCTACAGCAATATCAAGATTTTAAGCAAAAGAAAATAAAATCACAACGTATAGATAGCAAATGAAAGTTAAACTCCTGAAAATACATTCACAAAAGGTTATATAGATTATACCATCCCGGTTTGGGTGGGAAGAAATAAGTAAGCTGAGCAAAATACAAGTGTATAGACTGATATTCTAAGTATGATTTAGTAGTTCAGCATAGAATGCCTATTATGGGGCAAGAAAGGACAAACTTTCCAGGATCACAGGTAGAGCATATACTTACTTTGGGGAATAATGCTCGACAAGAGGCACACCACGTGCCATAGAAGTCAACGATCACTAAGCTATCTCCAGCTTGACTTAAAGCATCAACAAATTCTTGTGTTGAATGAATGTCAACCATATTTGCTCCAGCATTTTTTTCCCACCACTTTGGCTGGTCAGTTTCTTCAGCAACTGCACGTACCTGAGGTTCGCAGAAAATATACCTATAGATTATTGCAAGGATTGTCCAAGAAAAGCTCTATTAAACATGACAATCTACTTAAAAACTCCAGTATTTGTCCAAAACGAGCGTGTCATAGCAGCACAATGTGTGGTGTAAACCATGGCTCCTTTGGACGCATAAATTGTATATGTCATACATCTTTGATGTTTGAGGCAAAGATTAGTGCGGTTGATAAATGACACCTAGACAGGTTAACGTTTTCCCCTTATCATCACATGGAAACAAATGTTGACACAATGTTACTGCCAAAAGCAAAATGCCTACAGAATCTACTTAAGACGCATAACTTCACTAAACTATACCATTGTTTCAAATTAATGGCTGTCCACGTTCCATTCTCATTTTAAACGAACAAATATCCTCAGGCAACCCAGCTTCCCATCCAGGATGCAATTCCAGCATCTAACCTCTTGCTTCGTTAAATTTCTTCTTTCCTCTTATGCTTCCTAGCAAGGAGCGTCTTTTCCTTCCAAAATCTTCCAACTCCTTGATTAACGATTTCAGTTCTTGGAAATGGTCTAAGCAAGCATTTAATAACTACTCTGAAGTAAATTGTTTTCTATTTTCTTTCACGGCACTGTGAACTCCCCGAAATTTTTCTACAGTATCACCACTGCCTCGCTATCGACTTAATCCTAGTTGTCGATCTCAGACAAATAAGTAAAAATGATTTTTTTTTTTTTTAAAAAGCAAACTTGGTTCAAAGTGTGAAATAGAAGTTCCAAGCATTTAGGAACACCAATGAAGAACATCTAAAGAACCTTAAAAAATACATTTAGACAAAAACCTATATCAACAAGAATTCTCAACTGGGCAATCAGAATTCAGTCAATTAATTGAAAAAATAAGGCTTCCCATAAAAGCAAAAAAGAAACAAAGTCCTTACCTTGAACCGAACTAGAGGTCTTGTACGGACGCAATCAAGACGAGGCTTGAGAAAAAGGGAGCAGCTAATATTCTGATCCCATCCCCTCAATTTGCTTCTTGTACCCACTTGGAGGTGGTAGCATATGCGAGCGGAACGAATAGAGAACTGTAAAACATCACCAGATTTGTATTGAATAACAGGATTTCCCAGCATATCTTGCAGTTTTCACATCATGAATTGGAGCAAAAAAGTTTACTTGAAGCACTACTATTACTACAATTTGCTAATTCCTCAATCCTCACTAAGCATGAGACTCGCTCACGGAGAGCTTCAGTGATACTACCACTATTTGAGCTGAGATTGTTCCATTAATTGGACCTTTTTTTTCTTTTTTTTTCTTTTTTTCAAATTGTATTATGGAGCAAAAGATTATAAAAAAAAATTTATTAAAAAAATTTGTATTTCCGCCGAGCCAAGGCCCACTGCCGAAGGGGCCGTTGATCTACCATGACCCTTTACGGGGAAGGTAGGCAACACGGGTGCATGGAAAATTTCACATGACCCACTGCTAGTAGTGATGGACTGTTTTGAAGGCCTGAATTGGTCAGCATCTCCTCCAGGAAAGATGGATTGGTTTGAGTGGTAAAATTAGTTTACCTATAAAAAAAAAATACGATTTTAAAAACACAAAATTGATTATGGAGCTTCTTTTATTGCTTGTTTTGGGTAATGTATTACAATTATTTTACACATTGCAATTTTTTTTTTCACTTCTTTGTTTGTGCATTTGTTTCCGATAAATTATTTCCTCAACTGTGGGAATCTATTAGTTCGTTGTCCAGTGTACCGGGATTTTGTTGTAGCTTATGAATCTTTCATAGGAAATGTTGTTGACAATCGGCTAGCTAGCGCAGTAGAATTTTAATTGGACAAGGTAAAACAAAAAAGTGTTAACTAATGCATTGCCAGGTCATATAATGTAATATTGGAACTTTTATTTACCCTCGTACTAAGAAAAATGGGGTGACTGAATTTGATGAGTTTGTTCATGTACTTGGCAGATTCCATCCTTCGGCAGCTTTTGATGAAAAAGATTAATGGTGAGTATCCGGGAAGACGGATCGGATCGTCTCTTTCATGCCGGTGACAACATATGCACTTTTGCTTCCTCGCACTTTCTGAACATATGTTGACATTAAAAAATAATAATAAAAGATTTATTTTATTTCTACTGACTACAATATTTCCTCTTAATTGCTGCAGTTTCATTTAAGATGTATAATTTGAGACAAATTGGGTACGTTGAGCAGGCAGAATAAGTTTTGATGTTCGCAGAGGATAATTTTTACTGTGGAAGTAGTTTTCCTTGATAAACTTTGGCTTTCCTTTGACGGGATTGCCAGCTATACAAGTCAATCTGCATTCTCTTATCCTTTTGTACTTCAATGTTTTAGTTTGTTTACTGTTGTGCTTTCAATGTCTTGATCCTAAAACTATACAGATGATGCTCGAACAAAGCATAAAGCAGATTATCAACAACCCTTGCGGCATACTGCATTTTACCCCACAAAATTAACTTATTCAACATGAGTAGCGCTGCCAAAGCTTCGGGACTCCTGAGAAACAGAAACATATTACATCTTTTTAAGTTTCAAAAACATGATTAAAGAACAGTAACGGTGAATTCCCTGATCGATGAGAAGAGGGTCAACAACATCTTTGGCTGGTGGTACCACCGAGACTTATCAAGACTTTTTAAGTTTTGGTGGAAGTGCAAGGTTAAGGGTTCAACCTTTTTTTTTTACCATATACTTGCAACTTAATTGTGACTGTCGCTTTCAAGCGGTTTACCCCAACAGAATCCCGTCACTTAGGCTCCACTTCCCTCTAGATTAGACTAAAGTAGATTATACAAAATGTTATCCTTACGACAGAAAAAAAAAAAAAAAAAAAAAGAATGAGAAGAGGTCAAATTCGCTTAAAAGTCATCTAACAATTAACCAAATTGAGAAATACGAAAAAGCCTTGATGCATAGGTCCAATGTCGATATAGGTACAGAGCTACAGAAGTAAAGCCATCCAAACAGCATATCTTCCCCATTTTGGAAAACCAGCGGAACAGAGAGTACTTGATAAGTATTACCAAACAAAACGGCTAAAAAAAATAAAAGGGTGTTACCAAACTACTCTAGAGCTCTTGATTGAACTAGAAATACTTTCACATTTGACAAAAGATACCCCTAGCCCCATTGGTTTACACGCACATACATATGAATTATGAAACCATCAATCAAACCTCCTGGATGAGCGTAAACACTAGTTTCATTCGCTATTGAAAATCAGCAACAAAACCAGGCTCTGCAACAAACAAAACTTTTGCAACATATTCCATCAATCTTAGAAAATTCATGAATATCCCAAGAGGAACTGCTTATTTGGATCGAACTACTACCAAAGGATCGATGACCATCATTGCCATAAAAACAAATTTAAATATATTTGACCAAGATTTAACGTAATATCAAACCACTGAATTTTATCTAGAAATTTGTAGAAAAGTATTTTTTGGAATCCAAGTTAGAAAACCAACTGCACACATTAATCCACTTAGTTTTCAAAGAATTTCGGTTGTGTCTAGTGGGCAATAACAAATCAATCTCAGTTTCACCCTTTGATTTCCAACAAATTTTTGGAAATTAAAGGGTGAAAATCAAAGAATTGATCTGTTGCAGGCTTAATCAATACAACTTCAGAATTCTGAGACCTAAACTGCAATTAACCCTTAAAACTATCAACCAAGTTTAAATATAACATAAGAAGCTAAACTTAAAATTCCTTATTTTAAGAAGTTCCACTCAAATATTCTTTATGGATAAAAAAAAATATTTGGGATTTACTGAGTTTAACTTTTGAATAAGAAGAGATGGTTCAGTGGACTAAACAGCAGAGTGCTACAGCTCTCACCATCCATTACTGCTTAATCAAAGTAAAGCACAGTCGAGTCAAGACGGAATGAATTAAATCCAATAAGATGGCATTCCCTGGGCCAGCTTTCACATCTTGACAAAATCCACTAAGTATGTGCTTGAGAGCCAGTCATTTCAAAAGTCCTTGATATCAGAATGGTTAATGACTACTTACTGCTTTTGTAATTGCCATCATTTTGTTAGGTTGATTCAGGAATTAAGTTTGTCACAAGTAAACTTACCTGATTCTGTAAATTTACCTTTGCACAGGGTTAGAAGAACATAGCCAGTAGCAGCTTGTCTGCGAAATGAAAGGATACAGAAAGTGTCAGAGAAAGAGAAATCCTAGAGAATCTGGAATTTGGTGGGAAAAAAGAATTCTAAAAAGTAATAATAATAATAACCTCAGAAACAAGAAATGGGAATACATGTTGCAAATAAAAATCCACAATAAACAAAGGAAGCAGCCCCCTAAATGAACTATGCTTCCACTTGCTTCCTTTCATTAGGCATTCTTAGCAACAGTGTGCAGCACAATGCAGTGAAACATTGTTAAGAAATTCAAAAAGCACTCAACTACATCCAGCATCTAGGCCAAAGATTACATAACCAAATACAATTTCCTCGGCAAAACTCACCCTCACATTGAATGTTTGACATCATTTTGAACCTGTTTTAGTGAAACAATTCAAGCATTAAATGGACAAGGATGACCTACAATGAGACCTGAATATTCCCTTTAAAATGCATGCTTTCGCTCCTCTCTACCCTCAAGAAGATCAATTATGAAGAATTTCCAGCAGAATGCAACAAACAATCTTCACTTCCATTATTCACCATAACTAACAGTTAACTCCCTCAAAAGCACCGCAAGTCCATTATTCACCATATTGCAGTCCAAATGCACTTGAAAATCCAGAAAACAGGAAAGAGCAATACCTGTTTGTCCACTCAACAGCTATATGATCCATAACCAACTAAAACAGAAAAGTTATTTACAAGGGCAATTCCACCCATGGCCATTTAAAGAGTATTCAGTGTCTACTCAAAATATCCAATCAAAAGTAGTCTGTTGCAAGGTGCAACAGTTAAATATTCAGATACTTAGCACTTTAGCAAATGTAAACAACTTCGTTTGCCGCTACATAAAAACAAAAACCCGCACTCAATTTAAAATCCAATTCCATAGAGATTAGTATATCATATATCTACCAATCCAGGAGCAGTGACACGTGATCTATCAGTAACTTTCACTTTCAGCGAGAAAGCACAGCAATATAAAATCTCTTCTTATAGTCTAGAAACATAACTAATATCATCCATCCTCAGAAGCTCCCTCACAGCTTAACCAATATCATCTGAGACAAAACCATCTACAAGGAACTCTGTAACTTCAAGAGAACAACTTAAAGAGTTTAACTTAATCTGAGAATCCACTACCTTGGACACCGCTGAACTTGAAAGGTACTACTAGCTATAATGTAAAAGGTAGCTACTCTCTTTGTTATCCTTCAGACCAAAAGTTACTGATCGGAACCAAAACTTGGACTCCTTTTCCAACACATTCAACTGATTCTTAATACTGTAGATTCTCTCTCTCTCTCTAAAATCTCATCACTCCTTTCAATCAATCGACAAGGTTCTCTGAGTTTTTCATCTTTTTCTTTTCACCTTTTATCTCTCTCTCTCTCCGCCGATTGTATTTCCAAAATCTCATCACTACTTTCAGTCAATCCACAAGGCGCTCTAAGTTTTTCATCTGTTTTTCCACCTTTTATCTCTCTCTCTCCGCCTCCTGTATTTCCAAAATCTCATCACTCCTTTCAATCAATCCACAAGGTGCTCAGTTTTTCATCTGTTTTTTCACCTTTTATAACTCAAAATTAGCTTCACCAATCCATCCCCACCAAGACAGCTAAATAAAGATGAAATGGAGGAATAATTCACAAACCAGGCTAAAATACAATAGTAAGATAATCCAATAAGCTAACTGAGCAATATTTCAAACTTAGACATCAATGATTTCTAGCATATATCCATCATTACAAAACTTGGAAATCTACAAGGCCTACTTATACACCACTTTAAGATAAATGGTAAGCATTTGCTCTGACTTCAAAGCAACATGCCCAAAAGTTCAAGCTAAGCAAAGACTAGAATCAATTTGTTAGGTATTCATGCACTAAAAAAATTATGTTGGGCTGAGAAAGTATGATCTAAGCTAAATGGAACCTAAATATCAAGATAAAATGCAATCATATCAAGCACAAAAATAATTAAGGACCTGGGAACCCACAATATAGAGACAAAATACCTGCCTATAAAGTCCACATCAGATATAAGCACTTCTCACATGGCACGCCCACCATCCTTCAGATCTTCCAACATTTATTCAATGCATAAGGAGCAAGTCGTAGAGCAAAACAGAGTCAGAGTAACCTGACTTATTCAATTGAACAGCATTGCAAAACTAAAAATCAAATGGCAAAATATACATTCTTTTATTAGAAAATGTTAGATTAGCATGGAAAGCTTTTGGCTGAAGTATCCAGCAGATCAAGCCTTGTGAGTACTGGTCAGTCTCAGCATGTCTTCAACATTTCTAAGTACATTTACCAAGCATGCTTCTGAGGCAACAGAGTGAGAAAAGATTGTATGTTGCTTCATTATCAACCCTTAGAGGTAACAATTAGATGTAACATCTCGTCCATGCAAAACAAAGAAACCTAACACACTTGACATTCTTGTTTGAACCAAAAGCTTTTATGCACTTCCATAATGTCCAAATTCTAATACATCAAACATCATAACTCCTACCAAAAGTTAATTTAGATGTCACACCTAAACCAATATGGTGACATATGGGAATATGTCTCAGCATTGCACTTCACGCTTCAACAAACATTCGCTCGTGCAAAGTTCATTTAGGCTAAACTTTTGCAACTATGAGCAGCATACTTAGATGATCATTCAAACACCAATAAACTTAGCAATAGGCACTAGACACTAATGTTTTCTCTAAATACCAAGCAAGTTATTACTCACCAACAATTCGAAAGCCACAAACGTATAACCTTTGCCTCCAGAACAGCAATCAGTGGTCTGCTAACAACTTCAATAGGCAAGATTCCACTTGACATTAATGGGAAAGAAGTTACAGTAGGTAATGCAAGAAACCAAATGCTTTTGCATTGCCTAAGAAAGACCAGACCTTCGAACACGTCACAACCTAGATCTGGAGCATTTCTTCCCACTGATACAGTTGCTTCATGCGTCCGAAATTGCAAGTCTTACTTGCCTTTTTAATCCATCCCCGAAATACTTTAAACTTCCACAAATAGGAACTTTAAGCTACTTTTCCTCATTTTCAACTCTCAGTACTTGTAGTAACTGCACATATTTCTACTATCTCCTTAAATTTGAATGAAATCATCCGCAGGAGCCAAAGACCTTCGAGTGTATCTTTATATTGAGGTATTTCTATACTCTATTACAACTACAACTAATCAAAAAAAATTAACTTGGGACTGCAGGAGAGCCATGTGGCTTCTACTCATTTTACTCCAGAAAGATGTAAATGCTTCAGCAGCTCTCATTTCAACAAGAAAAAAAAACACACGTAGAAAAGACAGAGATATTGATCTGCAATGTCTTCAAGGCAGTTTGCCTGAAATAATTTTGACACTGGAATTATTGTACTACATATTTAACTTGTGATAATATACAACTAAAACCTTAGGAAACTTTCTCCATTAGCATCTCTTTGTTCAAAGACTTGACCACCTACTGTGACATAATCCTCACCTCAAAAAGCATCGTATTTAACTATCATCCTTAAACCTAGGCAAGACAGCAACTATCCTTAAACCTAGTCGATAGTGATTTTCTTAAACACAATCCACTTAGAATATTCAGCATTCATGGCAAATTCAAAGAAAGTTTCGACAAGAATTTAATCAAGCAGATTTCACAATCACAAGCGCAGCTGAGATGAGGATGACAAGTATAAAAATAGAAACAGATAGAAAGTTGGATTAAGCGCCAGACATAAACTTCAATCTTCTCAGATTATACATTAAATACGAAAATGAAACCAACATCCCAACCATTAAATAAGAGTAATATTGCTTATCCTATACATGTCAGTAAAGATAGCCAACATTTGTTAAGTGGCAATCTACTAATGTAATACACACAGATAGAAGTCAAAGACTTCTTTACCCTTTCCAAGATAATAGCCACCAAACAGGAAGGGATGAGACATGCCTATAGTCACTCAAGACATCCACATCTCAACGGCGATTGATACGTGGCTTCTCTACTCCTGCCCATGAAGCCGAACTTGAGCCATAGAATGGACCCTTGTTGGCAGCACCCTGAGAAAAGTTTATTCATGTCAGTCCAAAAAATTTCTCTTCCTTAACACACGGTATTTAGAGATAACAATGATCCACTATAAACTAACTGATCATGAGCATTGATACCATATGAGCTCCATATCCGTCACCGTAAGGTCCAGGAAAACCACCCTCAGGGCTGCTGAATTTCATCCCATATGGTCCACCTGCAGCAAAAGGTACAGTAAAATTAAAATATGACAAGGACAAAACAAAACCCACACAAGTCTAATTATTTTACCACAAAAAAAAAGCAACAAAAATAATTCTATCCATTTTGCTTCTTGCCAAGAAAGGTCACTATCAGAAACCATCATGAAGTTGGATAAAATGAATGTTAAGAAATAATAACATACACATGAAAGGAGGCAGTTGTGTTTGCTCACAAGTAAAATGCAGATCATGCACCAAGACCATACAACAAACATAAGTGTGAAAAAAAATAATAAGTGTGCAAGTATCGTCGTAGATGAAAAGTAAACGACTGACCTGCAGACCATCCTCGGCCATCAGAATTGGCAAGCTCTGCACGCAGCTTTTCAACTTCTCGAGCCATACTGACCAAATTCTTCTCCATTGCTTGTCTCTGCTCCACCAGCTCAATATTTACTTTCTTTTCATAGTCAATAGCAGCTCTGAAAGTCAAATTCATTATCACAGGAAAAAAAAATCAAGGCAGTTAGTCAAGACATGGTACAATCACCCAAGGTGTAAGCACAGCAATAGCACTTAGGAAAAAGAGAAACCTAGAGCGCATAAGTTCCTGATGTAGTCCGTCAAGCTCAGCCCTTAAACGAGGAATCTGCTGGTTATCAGCTTGCAATCTTGTAAGGTCTTTTGTAAGGGCCTGCACTTGCCCAGACATATCCTGCCTGATGGTGTTCAGCCTCTGAACTTCAGCACGAAGTTGTCCAGCCTCGATTTTCAGAGGCTCAGTAGCACGAAGATCAGCTTCCAACTTCAATCCCCTTTCGATAAGTTCCCTCGACTGGACTTCCTGTTCAGCACGAATATCAGCTAAGATAAGATTCATACGACGAAGTTCTTCGTTTGCAGCACCCAGATCCTGCTGCAAAGCAACTCTATCTTCAACCAGTCTTCGATTTTCATCTAAAAGCCTGCGAATATCGGCATGCTGCATTTCAAGCTCCTCCTCCAGTAAAGCAGGATGAGGAGGTATAGGCCGTGGTAAAGGACCATGTAGAACAGGTCCTTCTGGAGGATATCCACGTCGGTTATCAAATGCTTCGCGAGGCATCCGGTTTCTTCCAGCCATGTCAAGTTACACTACAAAGAAGATAAATGAATTGGAGTAATCAAGTTACACAAGGAAAGAAGCTTGTAAGACAACTTAGTTGGCAAAGAATTATGACTTTAGCTTGACTTTTGTTTCAGCTCCATGCATTGTAAACATGATAAAAAGGAAAAACTACGAGTATACAAAGATTCCTAGAATGCCCACCATCTTGGACTGAAATCATCAAGTAGTGGCTTAATAAAATCCACGTGTTTCTACAGCTTTGCTGTGATGAAGTCAGAATAGCTTAATCACATTTAAGACAACTTGCAGCTAACTATAATCCCAAAACTCAATTGGCTTACTAATCTGGCAGAACAACAAAACCTGCCTCAAAGTCCCCAAATGCCACACCAGAACAACAACTACGAAGCAAACAAAATTTGAAAAGTCAACGTCCAATTGTCTACGGTGTATTCAGTTGTTAAATTCGTTCTTGAAGTCCATTTCCACAAGCTTGGACCTACTCTGGTTTATAAGCAACTAAACTAACCCTAGTATGAGTGGCCTTCTTATTTGCTACTCCTTTCAGCTAATTTTGGGTAGGTACATCAAACGTACTTAAATGACAAGACCATCGTGCTGCACTAAGAATTCGTCTAGACACATATCAAAACCTCGAATTACTACTGATCAGAACAGCGGGGCTATCTTAAAAACTCCAGCTAGTGATTATCAAACAAATACACAAATTACTTGAGGAATTAGCCAAACTCGTAACTTTGATCGCTACAAGAACCTGCCGGAAGAGAATTCCAAAATACAGACATTACTTGGTAACCAAATACATTTTTGCTTGATGAAACAGCGAAAACTCACCAAGTTTGTCCAAACTCTCGTGAGCTCAACAGAGATACCTTCAGCTGCAAATTTCTTCAAAATTTTAATATTTCGCGGAGGAGAGAGGGAGATTTCGAGTTACACAATGAGAGATTAAACGAATAAGCTTCCAAATATAACGATTTTCTTAAAGCCTCAGATGAAGAAACCCTGACACAGCATAATCTAATTTAGTAAATATCTTTTCCGGGAAGCGTACAGATTATGAACCCTAGTTATGCGCCTATTTTGCTGAGATTTATTCAGTGAATTATACTCCAGAGATCACAGAATTTAAGCCAAACCTTATAAGCTGAAAATGGCGAGGTTGCGACGAATCCTGCCACGAGCAGTATTATTGTTATTAATAATATGTCTTTGGCCTATCTGAGAAGCGGGGACCAGCCAAATTTTGCTAGTCTTCTGGGGCAAACGATAATACTACTAGTGTTTTTTTTTTTTTTTGGGGTCAAAGAATACTGCCAGTCGTAGCTCCTTTTTTGCCCCAAAACGAAAATATTTATGTATAGTAGTTAATTATCTTTTGGCAACTTATACAAACCGTTTCTTAGGGTGAAAAAAAAAATTTGATAAGCACAACCGATTTAGCTATGCGGTAATAATTATCAATACACACCGGATTTTGGCGGAGGGCGCCAAAAATACAAAAATCGAAGTGGAGCCACGGACAGAGCCTGACTACCTGAGGTAATTATTATTATTATTAAATTACCAAGCCTCCCCAAAGAAATTTTTAAAAAAAAAAAAAAACGGGGAAGCTAAGGCCTCTTAGCAGGAAATAAAACCGGGGGGGGGGGTTTTTTTGACAAAATGGCCCGCTTAAATCTTCTTTTTCACGCCCCTTGGGCTAGCTGGCTAGCAGTTCAAAAGGGTGTGTATTAAGAAGAGGAAGAGATTAGTTTATGACGAGGATGGGCTTGCGTTTCAACTTTGTGAAGTGGTAGTTGGGCCACTTGAATTCTTTCGCTTAATAGAAACTCGCCAAATTTCATGGATTTTCTGAAATGTTTCCGTGAATATTGTGTGATGGTAAATTTAGTTTTTTTTTTAGGTGCAGATCTCGTGTGTATTCTACTGTCTTGGCTATTACTTCATGTGCTAATAATAATCCAGCTAAAGCTTTGCTAGCTAATTCAAGTGATCGGCTGATAAAATTATTCTTCTTCTAAAACTAGTCAACGAGATACTGTTGATATTTTTCACTGCCCAAGTTTTGAACTTGTTGGTCCTGGCAGGCGGCCGGATGAAAAAGGAGAGGAGGTAACAAGGGGATGGCAACGGGGAATTGAACGGGCGGGGGTGGATAAGGAGGAAGGAGAAGAAGGAAAGGGGTGGGGTGGGGAAAAAGAGGGATGATGGACTGAGGGTAGGGTAAGTGTATTGGCACTCTGAGAAAGTAGCAATTGCACTCCATTCCATGATATACACATATTTTTTTGGATACTTTTCTAGTTTCCTTTGGACAAAAAGGTTCCTAATGGTCACGAATCCAAGCTTGGTGGTATACGTCATCAGGAAACCGAGAGTTTAAGTAGTAAAACCAATGATAATAAGTGACTAGGAGAGGTTTAAAACTCTATTTCGATATAGGTTAAGAGATCAAATCCTTTGACCCGCAATCTAATATTTAAATTTTTTTTAAATATCTTATCAGTGGGTGTTTCGATATCCGTTTGAACTGGTGGTGATTTATCATATTCTTCTTGACCTTTTTAGATCTCTACTTGGATGTAGATAAAAAAATCAAATTTCTTGACCTACATTCTAATAATCAGGTTTTTCTAAAAATATTTCGCTTGCGAGTGATTAGATACTCGTCATCTGAGTCAATGGTGATTCATCGAATTTTTCTTGATCTTTTTCTATCTCTCCTCCCCTAGTGTAGAATAGAAGTAATTATAACATAAAATCTATCATCTTTAAAAAAAAGAAAAAGAAAAAAAGAGATAGGCGACCAAACGAAGTGCTTTGTTGTTACGGTCGGAGTATAAATAAGTACAACAACACTTTGCTAATGCTTGTCGTCAAAGTCTAACTAAAAAAATGGCGCAAGTGGAAATCCCAATGGGCGTTGGTGCGGTCCCTCGAAGGACTACGATGGATGATTGATGGTGGAAGCCGGAAGGTTGATCCAAACAAGCTTCCTACGTACCTTAAGAAAACGACAAAAGACGTGAGCTTCAGCTGCCCCCACACCCACACGTGTGCAGTGCAGTCACTATATAGCCATTATTGTCATTTTCGTTTTTTTTGGTCTGCTGCTCTAATCTTACAAAGGTTTGTTTGGATAGTGTATTATTTGAAATATTATTTGGAATAATTACTGTAGTACTTTTATGATGTGATGTATGTGAGATAAAAAGTAGTTGGAAATATAAAAAATAATTACTGTAGTACTTTTTATGATGTGATGTATGTGAGATAAAAAGTAGTTGGAAATATAAAAAGATAGGTTGAAAAATGTGTTTGTGATGCAAACGAAATATTATTTGAGATAATTTTGGACTCCTGCTGTAATCCTTAACCCACAAATTAATAGTGCTTGGAGGATCCTGACTGAGACTGCCATCGCTACTGGGGGAGTTTACATCTCCAACCTCCGAGTATGCAAACAGCCGGAAATCTGTTGGCATTTGACAATTTGTGGTGGATGTACCCAGGAAAGCAGCGGGGAAGGTTCGGTTCATTTTTGACCCACTCGTCCTAGTGTTTTGGTTTTGAACAAGAGTTGTCTCTCCTCCTTTTGACCCACACCGGCATCCTCTTCTTCATTCTCACCGTAGGGAAATTGATAATGCAATCTTCCTCCGCCGCCCACCTATATCAGTCAGTGGATCCTTCTTTACATCAATTTGATACTACTATACAATAGTGCTAGCTAGCTGGTAGTATTAAAAGGTAAATTTTTGGATCCAAAGACTCGCATATTTCTTAAGTTTCACTTGCATCGATATGAAAGACAGGTAACTCTAAAGAAGAATAAGAAATCCAAGAACAAAAATAAATACGAATAAATAGAAGAAAGAGAAAAGTACAATGCTGGAAAAAGCAAAAAATATTAGTAATATTTTATACACTCCTCCGTGTAAAAATCTTTTTTACAGTGGTAGGTAGATCCAGATGGATGACATATAATCTTTATTCAAATTTAAAATACACTTCTATTCGTGCAAAAAAAAAAAAATTCCGTGTACTCAGAATATAAAAGATTTATTCAAAATAAAAAAAAAAAAGAAGCCTTGGACATACCTAAATTGGGTAACAAAATGGTGAAGGAAGATAGAAGCTTCAAGCCTGGCCAGGTCAAGGCCCGGGCACAGCCTTTGTCCACCCCCAAAGGGAGTGAAGCTGCTGCCGCTCGTGTCCCGCTCCTGCAATGTGCGGCTACTAGTTTACTTTTTCCACACCAATAAGCATAAAAATTGGGCGTATAAAATCCAAAATGCTCTCAATATCTGATATTTTGTAAAAACTTGTTGTAAAATATTACGCTACTATTTGAGAAATCAAGGGAAGTCTTTTTTTTTTTTTTTCTTTTTGAAGGAAAATCAAGGGAAGTCTACAGCAGGGAATTGGTCATATATATATATATGTTTAATTTCTTACTTGCCACCGCCAGGGGTTGAACTGACAGGGAGAATCATATGCATCTTCATCCAGATGTATGGATCTAAAATACGTAAATACACACCAGCCTTTTGGTATGAAATGTCCTTTAATCTCAACGTCCTTGGTGGCTTTCCTCATTACTCCTATGATTATGTTTCCCATTCGCAGTGTTTCTGTGATCACCTGCATTATGCATGCATGCATATACATATATATATATATATATATATATATATATATATATATATATATATATATATATATATGGTCAAAACCACGCGTATATAATTACGGCTGGTGGTACATGATGAGTGCATTAATTCATTAACGGGTTTCCAGTTTTGAAGTCATATGTTTAGATCAATATTAATTAAAACTCACATTTTGTGTAAATGGTAGAGATAAATAATCTCTCCAACACAATGGTTCTTCAAGATTTTCTTTGATTCTTTTGAGTCTCAGGTTTTCCTCCTGTAAACAAAACCACCACCAAATTAATTAATTCGGTAAAAATGATGAAAGCATATAAAAGGGAAAAGAGATTGATTGACCATTCCATCGGTTACACATAAATTGGACCGTATTATGTACGGTGCAATTTATCAAGCATTCTTACGGTTGGCAATCAAAATGCCAATCAACACCGCATCCTTGACGACTAACTCCTTGGCTCGTTAACACGTTGCAGTACGTTCAGCAATTTTCTTGTTTTTGTTTCGACCGGTACAGTTTCTTTTATTGACTTTTTGGTCAAACATTTTTTTCTCTTTTGGAATCTATGATGGATTTTGCAACATCTGCAAAATTTAGGTGTAAAACACCAAATTTCAAAAAGGGACTGCTGTATATGACTAGTTTAGTGCTTAGATTTCTTGTGCCAAAATTGCTTTTCAGAAAACATCATGGAGAACCTAATAATGTGGCAAATTAGGTCGATTACTGGCTAGAAATATGTGAAATTTTGATCCCAATCCAACGCGTTCTGACATTTACACCAAAATGTTCCATGATTTGACAGAATTTAGAATGAAAAAAGATATGCCCAACTTCAACTTTTGAGATGAAAAGAGACAAAATTGGAAGATGTTGGGAAAGTTAGTGGATACGGCCAAACTACGGACAGGAGCACCAATCAACAATTTATACAGTAAATAAACGAAAAGCCATCACTAGGATAAAACTGGGATCAGGACAAGAATGACAATTAGTTAGTTCCAGAATCATAGTGCTCAACCTCAACTTTAGAATATAAGCCGCACGTGCACGACGGTGCATATCACCTACAGTATTTGCTTCCGCGCCGCTTAGGTTCAACAATTCAACACAACAGGGAAACAAAAATCACGCAAGCAAAGATCATACCGTCAATTGTTGGAGGGCAGTGGGGCAATCTGAAAGGTATTTTATAGCCAAAGTCATGAGTACTGGCACTGAATCCTCTCCTGGTATCATCAAGTCTATGATATTGTCTGATATTACATCGTCCGTTAGCTGTTGGCTTGCATCACTCAGCCAAATTTCCGCTATGTCCTTTGGGAATGAACTGTCGAGGCTGCTTCTTTTATCCTGGATTATTCTGTGTATTAAGTTGACCATCTTCTTTCTTGCCTGAAAATCAAAGATATGACAGCCAGGTGAGTTCTAACCTCAATTATTCTGAAGCTGTATAACTTCAACTGATTGGGCCAAAAATAGATAGTACACCGGTTCATATGACTTGCCTGTAGCGATCGGTAAAGTCTACTTCCGGGCACATTTATCGGCAAAGACATGAGGCCCGCTATGAATTCTTGAAATTGTTTTTTGAGAAACTCCATGTCTTGACCTGGATCCAAACTAATCAACGCCTTGACTAAAACTTGGAAGGCAATCTGAAAAGATGAGAATAAAAGACGAAAGTTAGTGGGAACACTCACACGAGTGTACAAACACATTTTTAAACATAATCATTACGCTGATCCTAAGTTTTCGGACATCATGATTCAGGCAAAGTCAGTATGTAGGCAGTTCTCATCATTGTGTTTTAAGGTTTCAGATCCTTAATTTTCTGTCATCATTTTCTTTTTGAATGAAATCCCACTGGACATTCACTGTGTCCGGTCATGACTCTGGTGCGTACGTGCGATTTTGATGTGAGATGCAGGAGAGAGAGAGAGAGAGAGAGAGAGGTAAGGAGATCCATTGACATTTTTGGCTTGGTCTTGAATGTACACGGGATGATCTTCACTCCAGCTCTTCATAGATTCTTGAACATATTTCTGCATGTCACAGGTAATCTGCGCTTTCAGATGCGACGACTTGCAGAAAGCTCCAATCAGCCCATGTATTCTCCTCTGCAAGTTTCCACTGATGAGTAACACAGAGGACTTCCCCATCAGCTCAGTCAGAGATCTTGGATAAGAGGGTACAAAAGTTTTCGCATCGCTTTGCAGAATACTCCTGCTAACATCTGCATCCGTGGAAACAATCGTAGGATTTCCAAATATATGCGACTTGAACACCTTCCCATATCTACAAATGAAAGATAAACACCCCAAAACTTCATTTAACCAGCAACAAATACACTACTATCACACGTCGTCATACTACAAGAATATCATCATTAGCTAGGTAGCTAGCTTTATTGAAGATTTATTATTATAGATATAAAACGGCTTACATGAGACGACGCTTGTCCATGAAGGTCTCAGGGCGGTCAGAGTAAGCGCAAGAGATGAAGTCGAGGGTTTCTCCGAGAAAAGGCCATCCAAGAGTGCCTAAAGGGAGTCGAGGAGTGGTGTAGCTTGACAGGAGTTTGCAACATATGAGTTTCCTGTAGAAAATAATGGCGGACAGGAGGATTGCTGTGGCCAACAAATTGCCCGTACAATTGTCCATTTTGGAACTTTTTTTCCGCTAGCTACGTACTTAAGCAGGAAATCAATGGTAAATCACTAGTGTTTTCCCCTAATCATGGTGATGTAGTAGTACTTTTGTAGAGGAAATGGGCCGACGTTCGAGTGAGAAAGAGATTAAGTTGGGTAACCCCTCTTTTAATGGATGTAGATGGGTGCGGCAGGAAAAAAAAAAAAGAAAAGAGAAAAGAAAGGAACGTGATATACACTGTATGTGTGTGCTTGAGGGATAATTTGACGAGTCAGCACATGTTGCCTCGAGGGTTCGTGCGCGGCTGGACCAGTGTTTTTGGCCGGTTTTCCTTGGGGATAGGGGCCCGACCAAATTATTGACCGCAACTTTGGTCCAAAATCCAAATAATATGGAGCATGGTGGATTTTCAGGGTCTTGGGGTTTTGAGATTTCTAATCCATGCAACAGTACTTATTGAAGTTATATATCCATCCATGTGATAAATTTCACTTGAAGCATAGATAACTCATTCAGATATTTATATTTATATATATTAAAAAAAAGTCAATCGGATTTAGCGACTACTAAATCTTGGTCATGAATGATTGGAATCAAAACAAATGTATGCATGATGAGATCTCTACCTATACATTTGGTTTTGCAGTGTAATTGTTATAGCATTTGATAAAATTTTCTAATCGGTACCCTAGGGTGTCATTTGTTAATAGGGCTAGATTACGCCTAATTACCTAATTTATTATGTAAACGCACACTCTCATATTTAATGCACCTCTGTATTTAGATTTTTTTTAAAAAAATAATATTATATTTGATAAAAAATTAACACCTAATACCCTCCTAATGAGTGTCATTAGGGTCCTCGTTAGTTAAACCCGCATTTTATTATGTCAAAATCACTACTCTCATATATAGGATAGCAGCTGGTCTTTTTATATATTTTTTATATTTATATTTTTGGATGGAATATAGCGGCTGATCCTTGGAGTGTATCATCAGTTTTTTTTTTTTTTTTATCATATACTCATCATTGAGTATATTCAGACTTAAAAGCAATTACGGTTATGTAGTTGTGCTTTCGTCCATTTCCATTGTTGTATTTACAACATTATTATTATTTGGTGTAGCAATCACAGTGTATTATTGTTGTGTACCATTACCTACGCATTATTCGACTGCTGCTGCACATAGCTGTGGAACAAGACAAGGGCTCCAACAAACTTGGGATTGGGATTTCAGCAACAAGAGCAGGTAACCAAGTGCAAGCGGAATGGTTACTGGTGGAGAGAAGCACCAACCAAAAAATGCAGGATGAAGCAACAGCATTAAGATGGGCGCTGATCAAAGCGAAGGAGCTGCAGTGGAGAAGAGTCAAGATGGCTACGTTAGTTTAGCTACACTATTTCATATCTGCTCCTTTTATTTGGAAAGAAAATATCAATGATATGGATGTAAGTAGTAGAGTTAGTCACAGTTATTCAGTAAAATCTCCTGAAATTTCCTAGGGGAAAAAAAGGGACTATACTAATACCAATATAGCTTAGTTCAACAATTTCTGCTAAGCTGAACTGTGCTTCACTTTTATTTTTTTGAATCAAGGCGCACATTTTGCTTTTGCTAGATCCGAGAATATTTGGTGGAAAAACAGTTAGTTGCATTTTTTTTAATCCTTAAAGCTAAGTAAAATGATTCGACAAAAAGAAAACAATCATTCATAGCATAGGCTCATAATTTTTTGTCTCAAACTGTATTAAGAAGGAGAAGGTCCATCAACAATGATAACGCTGGTGCCCCAATTCTCATGACCCATTCACATGCATGATTACAAGCGACTACATATATCATTGCAATACAAGATGCAGTGGTTTGTCTTTCTTTCTTTTTCTTTTTGTAGGGTGGGGGTGTATGCATCTTTGCACCGGCTAAATATAAATGGTAACTGAAGAAGCACTGAACTTCCCCGGACTGAGCTGACCTGATGAGTTCGGCGTGTCCCAATCCTGCAAAGCGAACAAGAGAGTGATCTCACAGGGGAGCCCCGAGGTCGTCCCCGAGGACACTCCGACGGTCAAGTTAATTTTCTGGTGAGTGAGGTTCACGGGAAGTAAAATGGTCCGGAGTAATTGGCGAATAGTGAGCGTACCTTGTGCAGCGGATGTGCGGTACCATTTATAGCTGCTGGTAAGTCCGACCTCCGTACGTTTCGGGACCTGCCCAAAATAGTCTCAATCCCGCGCCGAGGGGGATTCTCCCCGCCCTCTGCGGGATTGTTTCCCAGGGCTTCTCGGAGCCCTAATAGTGGTTTGCCCCAGGACGGTTGTCAGGGGCCTGGGGTCCAGGCCCAGCTCCGCTCCCTTCCTTACTTGAGGCCCCGTCTACAAATAGTACCCAAAACTCTTCCGGCCGTACCTCCTCGGGCAAAGAGCTCGACTCGATTACGGACAAACTGGCTCCCTCGGCGAGAAAGTCTGCCAGGGCCTGAGCTTTGATAGCGGTGCGAGACTGATAGCCGATGTCGTGCTCGGCCAGTTCGACAGTCCATTTGGTCATTCTGACCGAGACCTCAGGTTTTGTGAGTATCTGACGTAAGAGTTGATCCGTCATGACAACGATGTTGTGGGCCTGGAAGTAAGGTCGGAGCTTCCGAGCCGCGTGCACCAAGGCAATGACCAATTTTTTCGCCGGCGTGTACCGCGTTTCCGGTTCTTGTAAAGCACGGCCGATGTAGTATATCGGTCTTTGAGCCCCCTTATCCTCCCGCACCAAAATCGCACTAACGGTCTCGTTGCAAGCAGACAAGTATAGGAACAGGGTTTCTCCCTACTCCGGAGCGGTCAGAACGGGTAGCTCAGCCAGGTATGCCTTTAGGTCGGTGAAGGCTTTCTGGTATTCCTCCGTCCATTGAAAGTCCTTAGGTGCTTTCAGGATTCGAAAGAAGGGTAGCCCCCTTACCGCGGAGCGCGAGAGGAATCTATTCAGGATAGCCATCCTTCCCGTGAGCCGTTGGACTTCTTTGACGTTCCTCGGAGGGGCCATGTCCATGATGGTCTGGAGCTTATCCAGGTTGGGCCGGATCCCCTTTCGGGAGACCAGAAAGCCCAGAAACTTTCCCGACCTAACTCCGAAGGTACATTTCTTCGGGTTCAGCCACATCCGGCTTTCCCATAGAATGTTCAGGATTTCCCTCAGGTCGGGAACGAGCTGCCGGTCAGTTCAACTCTTGACGATCATATCATCCACGTAGACCTCCATACTCCTGCCGATCTGACTCTGGAATAGTTTGTTGACCAGGCGCTGGTAGGTAGCTCCAGCGTTTTTCAATCTAAACGGCATTGTCCGGTAGCAGTACGTCCCCTCCTCAGTGATGAAGGAGGTCTTTTCCCGATCCTGCTCAGCCATCTCTATCTGGTGGTATCCCTTGAAGGCATCCAGAAAACACAAAATGTCAAAACCCACAGTAGAGTCTACTAACCTGTCGATCCTCGGCAAGGGGAAGCAGTCCTTTGGGCAGGTCTTGTTGAGATCTGTGAAATCCACGCACATCCTCCAAGATTGGTCCTCCTTCTTTACCAGGACCGGGTTGGCTAACCAGGTCGGGTAATATACCTCCAGAATAATCTTGGATTCCAGCAGCTTGCCGACCTCCTTCTTGATCACCTCGTTCCTCTCCGGGGTGAAACTTCTCTTCTTCTGCTTCACTGGCTTGAAGCGAGGATCTATGTTGAGGTGGTGGACAACCAGATCAGTTGGGATCCCGGGCATGTCCTCAACCATCCACGCGAAGACCCGGGAGTATTCCCTTAGCAGGGCCTTCAAACCCTCCTTCTCCTCGGAAGGTAACGATGCACCGATACGGAAGACCTGGTCAGGCCTGTCCTCCCTCAAGGGGAACTCCTCGATCTCGTCTTGGGTTTCCAACTGTCGGGCCTCCTCCCCCGAGATGTAGGGTTCCAGGCTGATCGTCTGGGCGACCACCTTCTCATGTCCCCGGAGCACTGCCAAGTAGCAAGCTCTGCCACCTCTGGATCCCCATGCACCTCAGTTATTCCTCCCGGGGTGGGAAATTTGACGCTGAGGTGGAGAGACGAGGGGATAGTTCGAAGGGTATTCAAGACGGGCTGTCCCAAGAACACGTTGTACGGGGATTGTTGTTTGACCACCACGAAGTTGACGGGGATGGTCCGGCATTTGGGCGCCTGCCCTACCGTGACCATCAGGGTGATCATCCCCTCCGGATTGATGGGCGGTCCGGTGAAGCCCACCAGGGGTGTCCGAACCGGGGTTAGCTGTCCGTCCTCCAAACCGAACTCCTTGAACACCCGGTAAAACAGGATGTCCACTGCGCTCCCACAGACGGCGCCAACTGAAGAAGCACTGAACTTCCCCGAGCTGCATAGCTGTCCCCTCCCCGTGGGGCTCCCAGCGATAGTGTTTATTACCCCTGCTAAATTCTGGGTGTCCTGGTCGGGGGAGTTGCCCCGAGAAACGTCACGCCGCTCAGGGCGGTCGCGACGCTGGCCCTCACCCCTGTCTCCGCGGTAGGCCCGTCCTGGCTCCTGACTTGGTCGACCTTAACGCACGAATCGCGCCAGGAAGCCGTGCTGGATCAGATCTTCGATCTCCTTTCGCAGGGCACAACACCCCTCCATATCATGCCCAACATCACGGTGGAAGGCACAGTACCGGTCCTGATTTCTCTTGTTCCGGGGTGTCCCCATCTTAGGTGGCCGTTCCCCTAGACCCTCCGCCTCCATGACGGCCAGAATTTGGGCTCTGGGCCGAGTTAGGGGGGTGTAGCCTTTTTCCGGAAGCGGCGGCTGAGCTGGGGCTTTCTCCTTTGAGAGCCGGTCGAAAACATTCTTCTTGGCCGGGTCGTCCTTGTTCTCGGGGGGGTTTCCCCGTCCTCTCCGATCTCCGAGCTCCCGATCTGACTCTCTCTTCAGGCGAGCAGCCTCCTCCGTATTAGCGGCTCTGTGCGCCCTGGTCAAGAGCTCCTCCAGGTCTCCAGGAGTCTTCTCGACGAGCTTGTAGAAGAGCTCATCCGCCCTAAGCCCGTTCATAAAGGCAGCCATGACCACCTTTTCGTCCTTGTCCCTGATCTGCAAGCTCTCCGTGTTGAAGCGGGTCATGAAATTCCTCAGGGACTCGTCCGGCTTCTGCTTGATTGCCATCAGGTGAGCCACGTTTTTCGAGTAAGTCTTCGAGGAGACGAACTGGGGGGCGAACTGTCTGGCCAACTCGGGGAAACTCCGGATGGACCCCGGTGCCAGACCCTGGAACCAGAGCCGGGCCTTCCCCTTCAGAAACATGGGGAAGGTTTTGCAGCGGACTTCATCCGCAGCGGTTTGCAGACGCATGTGCGTCAGGAAGACCCAGAGGTGGTCTTCCGGGTCGGTCGAGACGTCGTACAGCTCGATG